AGTCAATAATCATGCAGATTTATGTTACAAACTTATAGAATTGTACAGTAAGAAAGTTATTTCCTTTAACCAGGAAATTAACGTTCTTAGAATTGACAAGACGGTTGACCCTGAGTGGTCAGCTAAATATCTACAGTGGATCTAAAATATTAATAATTAATCATAATTAGTTATGGTTAATTATTCATATTTCCCCATGAGCTGATTCGCTACAGCCCCCTGCCATCAGCTGCCGCGTCTCTCACACACACACACGAGCGCTACTTTAGTACTAGATTTAGCAACTTTTTTTCCATAGATAGTCATACTGACAAACCTAGCGACTTTTTTGGATAAACCTTAGCTATGGTTCAGTTGGAAGATTTCGCCAGTGCTGTCCCGCGAACGCGAGGTCTGACTTTCCCGGAGCAGTGTCACCTCTCTTGGCGTCTGTTCTGTGCAGTGAGTGGCAGAGAAGCAGCACATTCAGTTGGCCGCACCGCAGCCGACTCGTCAATAAATTAATACAAAACAGCGTTTACTAGCACCTATCACCGACGCTTAATGATTGTTTGAAATTATAAATGAGCGTAGTTCGTCTGTTAATATCACATGCACTTTTTTGTTTGTTGTTTTTAGTTTGTTACTCAGACGCAGGCAGTGCGATGCATGAGACAAAAAAAGTAATATAGCCAAAACAACCGCATAGCCGCTCTTTAGTGTAGATGCATGTTGATTTTATCAGACGATGCCGCGATTATAAATGAGTGACTCCTGTTTAACATTAAATAGTGACTAAACACAACCCCTTTTAGTGTGGTATTTTTTGACAATATTCACTCATCATGACAGTAAAATAGGGCATTCTAAGTCAATATACTGCAGTATTTCCTCTCAATCAGTAGAAAATACGGTTAACACCCGGTCATGCATGAAAAAAAATAAAAAACACCGTCTTGTACTGTGAAACCGATATAATTTCAAAAAATACCGTGATATAAATTTTGGTCATACCGCCCAGCACTAACTACTACTAAAATTATTAAAACATTATTTTTAAAGAATAAGCATACAATATTTCTTCAATGTTTTAATTGTAATATTAGGGCTGCATGATAAATCGTATGCGATATTTAACGTGCATCTTATAAGTAAAACCGGTTCTGTAATCAGCGGTAAATCTCCATCACGTGCGTGCTTTCACATTGAGCAGAATTAACTACACAGAGCCGTTGTTCACTGACGAGCGGTGCAAAAAAATTGCGCAAATATGACCGTGGTTTTGCGCAGCTCGTCAGTGAACAACGGCTCCATGTAGTTAATGCTGCTCAATGTGAAAGAGATTGAGATTTACCGCCGATTACAGAACCGGTTTTACTGGTAAGATGCACGTTAAATAATCACATGCGATTTATCGTGCACCCCTATGTAATATTAAATTACCTTTATTTTCCAAAAATTTAATTTGTTTAATTTTCATTACTTAAAAGATAGATTATATGAATGTTTTATGCCTTAAAACAAATGTAAATACACAACACAGAATTTCTGAGCAAAAAATCATAAGGCTAAGAATAAATGAAACTTGTTTTATGCTTTCAAATAATTAGACGTGCTAAAACAGAATTTGGTTACAATAAAACATAAGGTTGGAAAAATAAAACATTTCATAGGGCCCTAAACATGTAATATTTGTTCAACTTTTAATAAATTGATGTTAAATTGTTTAAGTTTCATGATTTTAATTAATTAGACATGCTTGGTGATTAAAAAAATTTAATTTAACCATTAAAAAGGAGCCCCCCCAAAAGCCGTAAACCTAGGGGAAACACTGTACTCTGTTTATGTGGTAAGTGAAATTTTATGTACTGTAATATAACAGGCATTATGTAATGTCCGCAATCCATAAGTAAACTTCTCACACATTTTATGTTACATTATGGAGCCAGCATAATCTGAAATTAGTTTGTAAACGGTTATGCAATGCTAACGTGATGCTAACTTGATGCTGATGTGTTGTATTAGTAGGAAAGCAATAGTTACGTAGATTACTGCATTCGGTTTTTGAAAAAAAAAAATAAAATTATTTACCATTCTGAAACATCCTGTTGTAAGCGCATATGATGAGGTGGTTGGTTGTCACCTGTCATCGCCGATTCGGGGTCTGAGTCCGGCTCAAACATGTAAGGCCGGAAAACATTTCCCTCAGCAGAGGCCATCATTACAGGTGTTTCTATTTTTCTATTTGCCATAGCAGGCTACAGCATACATTACCCTAGTAACTGGTGGTTGGCCTGGCCGTGCGTCACTCAGAAAACAACAGGCCAATCAGAAGAGAGGCTCGTGAATATTAATTAGACAGGCCAAAATCGACCTGTTCTCAGCAGAGCTCCTGAGAAAGGAGCTGTAAAAATATATTTAGATGGTTTTTGGTGATTATACCGCAAATATATATTCTTAAGGACATCAAAACCTAAAATAAAACTCCAGAAAGGTGTATAATATGTGACCTTTAAAAGTTTAGGGTATAAGTTTATAAGTTTAAAATATACAGCAGCAAAAAATATAATCAACATTGATAAGAAGAAATGTTTCTTGACCTCCAAATCAGCATATTAGAATCATTTCTAAAATATGAGACAGAAGAAAAAAAATAAAATAAAAATTTAGACTGGTAGTGCATATTCACAGTCCTAGCTAGAATACTACCAATTAATGGTATGGACAGCTATTTCCTCTCATGAAAGCACAGAGTGTACATGCTTAGCTACCTGTAGACCAGGGGTGGGGAACGTTGATCCTGGGGGACCACTGTCCTGCAGAGTTTAGCTCCAACCCTGAAAAAGAAAAAAAACCCTACCTGTATCCTGAAGACCTTGATTAGCTTTTGTTCAGGTGTGTTTGATTAAGGTTGGACCTAAACTCTGAAGGAACACCGGCCCTTCAGGATCAACGTTCCCAATCCCTGCTGTAGACAGTAGTCTTTGCTGTGTTTTCATTTTGGCCCAGATGCAGATGCTGCAAGGCTTTTGTCACCACAAGTTCTTTGATGACGGTTTGGTGTGTCTGGCCCTTAAGCTGGATGGCTTTGCGTGCATACACATACCTATAAGGGCTAGAAGTGGGGGTAGTGCTTCTGGCGCTGACAGGTGGAGTTCCAGGCTTCAGATCCATTCCACAACTGAAGAGCTTCAGATCCATCTCACACATCTAGAACAGATAAAGTATACATGTTTCAATATGGCCCATGTATGATAAGCTTTTAGACTACAGTAATACTACAGTTTTGGAAAATTCGGAACAAAAACAACAAATGGGTCAAATTCAAATTCACCCTCAAACAGTAGGTGGTGAAACACAAAGCAGTGCTGCTCTTATAAACATTAAACAATTTATTAGGCTGAGATGAAAGGATAAGGTAAAAAGAAAATGCCATTGATGTTGCATGTATTAATATAAACAGGGTCCAAAATGAACTATTGCTAAGCAGCAACAGGAGTAAATATACCAGGTCCACAATCAACTTCATTATTACAAGTAAATTAAATACGAAGTGCAATACATTTGTTAAAAAAAAAAAAAAAAGTAAAATAAATGATAAACATCATGGTTATAAGTGTACCTTATTGGAAGGCTGCATCATACTGTGTGTATTCTGGCCAATAAGGCCACGGTAGGGCGGATTGCTTGGGGGCTGGCGATTGAGGCTGGGGGGTGGGACTTGGGGAGGGGGCGGAGGTAGGGACTGAGGCAAAGCCAAGAGTGGCTGACCACCACCAGAGCCGAAGTTGGGCAAAGACAACTGTGAACCTGGCACAGGAACAGTCACCTGCTGTAGGGCAGAGCTGGGACTTTGAGCTGAGCTGTAGTAGCTGCTCTGCTGCTGGACTTGTCCAGAGTACAGGTTTGAGTGCTGACTCATTCCCTGACGCTGCAGTTCATCACACACAGAGATAGAGAAATATAACAGACTTTAGATCACAGACATGACAGGCTGAATAAGTAGATAGAGTGGGGGGGGGGGGGAATTCTGACCTGCAGTAGATGCGCGTCTATAAGCTGTGATCCACCCATGCCAGAGGGCTGATTCAGCTGGGGCTCAAACAGGATGGGGATGTGTTGGGTGTTTGAGGTCTGCTGAAAGGCCAGGCTGGACTGAGGCTTGCCCAATTCTGGGGGCTGCACTCCAGGGTAACTGTGCAGTGGCGTCCCAGACAGCATCATGGGAGATGTCTGGGAAAGGCTGTTCTGCATGAATGCCTGTTGAGACCTGTGTAGACAAGACAGCACACGATAAATTAATTGAGATATTATGCATTACATAAATTTTGGATGCTTCAGAGTTAACAGCAGCTCGGTCTGCAATACCTGTAGGGCTGTATGGAGGAGCTGAAGAGGTCTTGAGGTTGAGACACTGGAGGTCCAGTGTTGAGGCTCAGCTGGGCCTGGTGCTGCCCCTGCAGAGGAGCGTAAATAGGGATGGGGATCTGTTGCACCGCTGTAGGCTAGAGAGATAGAGAAATCATAAAAGGGTGTCAACCAACTACAACCTCAGGAAAATGAGACCACTGTAAACATCATTCATGAATCATGACTTGAAAGTCTGATCCTGCTGGTGTGGGACACTGAGTTTTATACCTGTGAGAGTCCAGGCTGAAAGCCTTGCTGCTGGGCTATAGAAGCAGCCAAGCGAGGGTGGGGCGTACTGAACAAGTGGCTGGTGTCCATGTAGAAAGCCGGGATTTGGGCTGCAGAACCTACACAATAAAAAATAGTTTATCACTTCTTCAAAAGACTAACATGTAGATACAGACATAAAATAAAGAATGATTTCTAAGGAACACTGAAAACTGGAGTAATGGCTGCTGAATATCAAGCTGACGTCACAGGAATAAATTACTTTTGAAAATATATTAAAATAGAAAACTCTTCTAATTATTGAATTAGGTGAGCAGAAACAATATTCAAACTTGAGGGTGATGTGGGCCATTTACCTGCTGCAGACTGAGATACGAACACCTGTGGGGTCTGTTGCTGCGGTAACAGAGAAGGCGCACAGCCCAGCTGGGAGAAGTTAATGCTGGACATTCCTGAACTCTGCAGCTGCTGGGGCTTCACCTTACAGATGTTGGGAGGGTCAGAGGCTGATGTGCTCTTCGTGCTGAGAGAGGATGTTGTGTAGGTTGCAGATCCTGTATAACAGAAGTCCACTATTAAAATTCAGCCCATGTCTGTTTTTTATTTTTACTTTCTGACCCATTCATGGGGTGTTCTGGTCAAGCATGAACTCTTACCAGACAGGGAGGTGCTGGGGGTGACCGAGGCCACAGGTATCTGAGGCACTGAAGCACTAGAGAAAGAGTTGAAGGAGGCACTGCCTCCTGCTCCTCCACTGGTGATGGGGGAGGCAGAGGAGGTGACAGGAGAGCTCTTTTCCACAAGACTAGGCGAATTCTCCCAAGCCTTACGCGCCGATTCCATCTGCAGGAAAACAGTGAAGAGCATTTTAAAAGATGCTCTTGGTAGCATCTGCACTGACTTAGTTGTGTAAAGTACATTTTGACTATTTATGTTAAAGCTTTTGATTTGTGGATCAGGATTTGTGAATGAAACATTACATTTATTCTAGGGCTGCCCCCTAATAGTCGACCAAAATTTTTTTAACCTAGAGAAATGTGCGCTATATTCAAACGTCTGTGTGGAAGGCTGAACATTAGCGCTCACTGCAGGACAGATGGAGGGGCCGGTGCACTCACTTGCTCTTAAAATAGGCTACTCCGTAATTTTTGGTCATACAGATAAGAGTAATACATCTTTCAAATCTGTAAAGACTGTTTATTTATGTGCACTCACAATAACAACAAAACACACTTTTGTAAAATAATGAAAGCAAACAGGATGCGCTTTCTGCCATCTCGGTCTGTGAACTCGAGCGCGAAACTCCGTGTATATCTTTGCCTTACAGACATTAAAATATATCTATAGAGAGTGAAATGTCTACTTTCAAATTAACCAATTCAAATGGAAAACAAATATTCTCAGATTATGTAATCCGTGTGAAACATGCACACAGGCGCATCACTACTGCGGAGATGACGACTAAGTGTTGCCAACTTCATCACTTAAACTGAAACAAAGAAAGCACTTGTTTATCAGTGAATTATTAAAATGTTAATGCAGCCTCCTCACTGTTTTTCCCTGACACATTCATAATCATAGCTTCTGCCAGTACGCTGTGGCAAGCTTTATGCGTGTGCTTGAGCGCTTATTAGGTTTTTTAGGCAATTAAAGACTCATTATAATGATTTAAATGGTTTATTGATAAACGTGCGATTAGTCGACTAATGCTTAAAATGAATGACTACTAGTCGACCAGAAAAATCCTTAGTCGAGGGCAGCCCTAATTTATTCTGATTTTCAAATGAATCATTCAGTGTGTGTGTCTTACTTTAAGTGTGAGGTCAACAGTAGCAGGAGAGACTGTGGCAAGGCTGGAGCTCTGCTGCAGGGCTTCTCTTCGCTGAATAGGCAATGGGTGCGGGAGCGCCACCTGAACCAACAACCAAAAAAAGCGATCAGAACACACACACACACACACACACACACACAGAGAAACCCTACACACACGCATAATGATTACAGCACTGAAGCACTAACAGGTGCCACAAGGCTCTCCTCTATCTTGGTCCCTGCAGTGGGGACGTTGTCAGCTAATGAGGAAGATGGGATTGTGTAGTCAGTCACTGATTCCTGCAAAATAAACACACATTGTCAGAAAATAACTTATCTACAACTATTTTTTCAATAATATAAATACTACCATTCAAAAGTTTGGGGTTGGTAAGATTTTAATGTTTTTAAAAGTCTGTTACGCTCACCAAGGCTGCATACATTTGATAAAAAATACAGTAAAAACAGCAGTATTGTGAAATAAGGTAATTAACAGTTTAAGTTAAAATGAGCATAATTAATAAATGACAAAAAAGTAAACATAGAAAACTGTTCATTCAAAATACCCATAAAACAACTTACTGACCCCAAATCTTTGACTGGTATAGTGTTAATGACAGAATTGAAGCAGAAGGATATTAAATTGCACCTTAGAGATGCTGGAGTATTCAGCAGATGGAGCAGTAATCATGCCCTCAATGTCTCCACCCAGCTCAGGAACTTTGTCTTTAGTGGGTGAGCTGGAGTCTCTGTCTCGGCTGCCTCTAGTTCCATTTTTATCCAGGACCTCTCCATCGGACTGACGCACATCTTTGGCAGCCTTACGGTTCTTGAGCGAACGCTCTTTACCAATGGGACCAGGTTTATATTCCTTGTGCTCTGGAGGGGGGATGTCAGGTAACTGAGGAGGAAAATTTGAGAAATTATTTAGAAATATCTGTAAAGTCTGGGACAACAAGCAAAAATGCTTCAATTTTGTGTAACAGCATATCAATTTAAAATTAACATTTCAAAATGTATCTTTTGCTTTATTATAAAGAAAAGCAAATTTCACAGCCCACTTCTCATTATCCAAACCACAATGAAATCAAGTCCTGTCCCACGTCTTGGTAAATATCCAGTTTCATTTGGAAATATGCTGGATTATGTGATGCAAATGCTGCTGCACATTGGTCCTTTGAGATAAAAGCAGGGACTACCTTCTGAGGTTTGACAGGTCCAGCACGAGGCTGTTTTTGTCTTTGCTCTTTGGGTTCGGGTAGTTTATTATCAGAGGTTTTCTCTAGCAGGGCGGGCACTCCGTCACTGTCAGTGCTTCCTGCTGAAGACGGGGCACCAAACTGGATGCTGTCCATGCCCAGCTCAACCCCACTTTCTGTTCCCATTTTCACACCCTAAAACACACAACCACAAAAACACCAGCACTTAAAGATCAGAAAATTAAAAATGGTGTTGGTCAGCCAGTTAACATAGCATTTTGGAAAACAGCTTGTTTAAAACTTTTTACATTTTAATTAAAATTTAAATATCTCCCTCTCACCTCAGGTGTAACGGCCCCAGTAAATGAAGTAAGGGGTTTGTTCCAGGCACTGACAGATGGAGGCTGGAGAGGGCTGATAGGTCCAACTATAATAGCAAGACAAATACGATAACCATCAGATGCAGAACTGTTACCATGTTGTTAAAATAATCAAAGAACAAATAAAAAAACTCACTGGTTTTAAATTAATTGGTCTTTATTAATGGCTATGAACAGTTTCTTAAACTAAAACGGCAAGTTATGTAAACATGGCTTTAAGGCGAGGAACTTACGTTTTTTGACATCAGAGAGAACAGTGGAGCCAGCCACCTTGTTCTCCCACAGTTCTGTACCCAGGGTGTTGTGTGTTTGACTCTTGGCAGGGAAGTCTACAGGTGAGGGGGCCAGAGGTGCCACAGCACCCTCAAGAGGCTGGGTTGAGCTAGTACTCTGGTTAGAGGCAGGCAGGTTGTGCTGCGACACAGAGATAGCTGGCTGTGGTTGAGGCTGCTGAGGGACAGACTGGGTTTGTGGAGCTGGAGCTGATGGTTGCTGCTGCTGTTGCTGCTTTTTGGCAAATCGCGGAGGGAGTTTAGAACCGCCACCTCCCCTGCCCTTCTCACCAGAGCCCTTTTTACTCCAGTTCTGCACAGCATAAGGACAGATGCAGAAGACATCGGATGAGATGATTTCTTGTGTACCAATTGCCTCGATGCAATGCACGGGACTAAAGACATTCCCTCCTTTCCTCACCTGTGCAGTCTGCTCTTCTTTCTTCCTTCGTTCCTCATCCTGCAAACGTTTCTGCTGCTTCCGTGAAACAACCTCAGTGAACCCATCATCGTTCGTGTTTGACTGAGGGTCCTCCAGTGTCGTGACCTCTGGGTGGTCGTCAATGATCACTACACCTGGGGAAGGGCGGAAAGAGGATAAATGAGTATCCAAAAAAAAAAAATTAGCAAAATCATTCAGTTTACCAATATTAAAACCAAGTTATTAAATAACAGAATTGTAATATTGAAGCTGTACTTGCAAATAATTTATAGCTAGGAACGAATTAGCTAGCAAAGATTTTTACTAAATATTACTTAATTTTGTGTTAACTTTTTAATTCATGTTATGAATATGAAAAAAATGTTGCTACAAGGTGCATCAAAAACAAAATTATTTAACACTAACTGGCATAATTGTTGAGATCGAACTGAGACAAAGCATTTTCTTTCTCTTTGGGTTTTTTGACAGCTTGTTTTGCTTCCTCTTTCCGGCGACTGGGCGCTGGGTCTTTTCCAACTTTCTGACCTGTACTGGCCTGACCAGCCTCTGCATTCTGAGCAGCAGCACTGCAGGAAACAGAGAAAATATTAGCTCAGTAATAAATTAGAATCTGAGGGTTGTTGGGGGAAACAGCCAGATAAAAGTAGTTAGTGTGAGAGGCAGTCTAAAAATACATGTCTATTTGGAGGGCTGTTAAGACAAATTCACACATGTGACCCTGGACCATAAAACCAATCTTAAGTCGGTGGGGTATATTTTTAGCAATAGCCAAAAAATATAGCCAAAATTATAGATTTTTCTTTTATGCCAAAAATCTGTAGAATATTAAGTAAAGATCATGTTCCATGAAGATATTTTGTAAATTTCCTACCGTAAATATATAAAAACGTAATTTTTGATTAGTAATATGCATTGCTAAGAACTTCATTTGGACAACTTTAAAGGCAATTTTCTCAGTATTTAGATTTTTTTGCACCCTCAGATACCAGATTTTCAAATAGTTGCATCTAGGCCAAATATTGTCCTATCCGAACAAACCATACATCAATGGAAAGCTTATTCTCACATGTATTTATTTCCAGATTTATTTATTTACTTTTACTCTTCCGTGTGCAACATGGAAATGAGTAGGGATGGAACGATGACCGATTTCACGATAAAATGCCCTGATGGTTAGTATTATCGTTTAAAATTTAATTATCATCAAAACAGTGTTTGATTATCACGATTTTGAAAACTCGCAGTAAATCCTGTCCAGCAAGCATCAGTCTGACGCAGAAGCAGCATGCAATGTTGTTGTGTTTTTGTTTTTTTTGCACGAGAGGAAATGGCGGAAGGCAGTGACAGCGCTCGGGTGATTTTTCAGCCATCTAAGAGGACCAAATCGGTGGTCTGGTCGTATTTTGGCTTTTCCAAGAGTCCTGAAGGCAATTTAATCGAGGACGGTCACCCTGTCTGCTGATCTTGCAAGAAGAAAGTCGCTGCAAAAGGGGGAAACGCATCAAATTTGTTCAGTCATCTTCGTGACCCCCACCCACTGTTATAGCGAATGCAAGGTAACTTTTACCTCAATACCAAAACTAACTCTGCAAATAATTGGACAAAAAATATTGACTAGAGATTAAATATTTCGTTATCTCGCTTGTAATTAACACAAAGCTTCAAACTATTAAGGTTGACATTTAAGGGATAATGTATTGTATATTCATAGTTAACTTATTACACAGATTTTTATTTTGTTTACCTATAATAATATATAAATACGGGGATATGAAATTGAATTGAGATTAATATTTTGAAATCTTTACTGTTTATAAATCCATTATGAACAGTGTACAAAACAATCGTCAGGACAATATGATCACTACAGCAAAATTATAGTAGTATTAATAGTAAATTTCTCATGAAAAAATTATTTAATTTTCAATACAATCAAAAACTGAGACGCAAGACGGCAAGCTGCATTTGAATGAAACGAGAGAGCACGTCCGCGCCAATACAAGAGACATGGGGCGAATTCCAAACAGAAGTGAGCATCCCTATGCCCTACTCCCTTCAAAGGGCAGAGCCCTTGAAGTGTGTTCTTTGAAGGGTACAGGGCAGTACTGTCTCGTATAAGCGTTTGGAACTCCCTTGGCGAAGGGAATGACTGACCAAATGTTACCTTGACAACGCTGCGCGTGCGTGCAGCATTCAGTACTCCATCAGTTGTTGCAAATAAATATTATTATTTTATTCAAATATTGTCTAATTGTGTCTTATTTACTATTAAACGTTTTTAAACTAAACTTGCTTACACTACCGTCTTCAATCATATTTCTATCACTGACGAAAAATATGTTGTCTTACATTAAAATAAACAAATTTAATTAGCCTATTCTATTTATGTTTGTATGTGAACTCTAAATCAACCCCAACTTTGCTTTAAAAAGCATCACAAGATCTCCTAACCGAAGATCACATGATCACAAATTGAAATCACATTGTGTATATATATATATATATATATATATAGCTGCTAATTGTATTTGTTGTTTTTCAAATATAAAACTTATTGAAATGTTTTCAGGGTGTGTATCAGTTCTTTTTGAACATTTTCATATTAATTTTAACAAAACCGTGACAGTATTGATAACCGTGATAACTTTGGTCACTATAATCGTGATATGAAATGTTCATACCGTTACATCCCTAGAAACGAGGGAAGTGGTCCTTGCGGAGCTCCTGTCAATCATTGGTTGAGAGCTCACACAGAAGTGACGGATCAAACTAACGATAGAGATCGGGGAGTTTGTGGGTTCAACTGGAGAGCTGGCAATATATCTTCACAGATTCACATTATGATGTTGAATTATTTTATGGTATCTGAATTCATCTACTTCCAAAAAACGAAAATTCAGCTTCAATTTTCATTTTTCGTTCATGGGTGGAAAAATGAATAAACAGCTGAATATTCGATTTCTACACGTGGGCGGGAATTAAACGCCCCTTTCTGCTGATTGGTCAGCCGAAGATCAGCCGTCATCAGTTCTTCCGCAGTATCACGCAGCAGAATAATAGTCCTTCCCTGCTGCAGTTGTATGGATTCTTAACGCATTTATTGCAACTTCATTTAATCTTTTTTCATCAAACAAACAGGCTAATGAATAGCTCGACAACTCATACTGGGGCAGAGTCTAGACAGGGCTTTCTTCGGTGTAGATATAAATTCTATTCTTTGCATCAGCTGGGCATGGCATGACAGCTGTCATAGCCTACCCCCTGTTCACCCAGTAAGTTTGTTTGTTTGCTTAGTTAAGAAATGAATTAATTTGTTTCAAAATAAATATTTTAAACACTAAGACAAAAAGGAAAGAATAATAAATTGGCTTGGGTATATATAGGCCTATGTTCACGCAAGAACTGTCATTCTGACTGACAACCGGAGAACAACAGATATTAAATAGCCTACTGTTAGAGTTATATAATGTAGTCTTGTGTTTTATTAAAATTGATTATAATTGATATCTCAAAAGGATATGCACTTGTGTGCAGCGTGAGCTGCTGCGCAATCACACTGCAACGCAAGAGTTTCATAAAATATAATAACTTGCCATTTCGGTTTGTTTCTCACCAAACCCTCAGTATACCTTCAGAATGCTTGGAATATACGCCACGAGATGCATAAGATTATTTTACGACAGATATGCATCCGCTTCAAAACAACAAACAAAACCTAAAGTCCCCATTCTTTTATTATTATTTCCATTAAATTGGCAAGTGCGAGCAGGACATTTTTATAAGCCTTTAGAACAACATTAAGGCGAGTAGTCACTCTAGTTCACACGATTCCCATAAATTGCGATGGGTTAAATAAACTCAATAAGCAGACAGTCAAGCGCAGACCAGTATTGAAGTGCACAGGAAATAAGCAGCAGTCATATTTAAAGCAGTTTAAAGTAATACTGAGTACTGATTGATGTTCACTTGTATTTTTTTCCCCATCGAGGGGAAATAACTTAATACTGTGTCATTTATAGTCATATGGTAAAATGTATATTTTTAATTGTGTAACGTTACGTTCAAAATAACTACAAAATGTTATGCCTTTGAAAAATAAAGAGAACAACAGAATGCGCTGCTTTAGCGCATCTTGATCTCCTTGAGCATCTTTCTGGCGCATGCCACAAACATGAAACACAGGGAATACTCGTCTTTTAAAAGGCTTCATTTAGATTATTTTACATTAAATGCATCATATAAGTCACTTTGAAAAAGTAGGCCTATGTATCATGATAAAAAAAAAGCGACTTTTCAGTCTGGAAATACTTTAGGCTATAGCTAATTATTTCTCGGACCCCCTATCACTTTAAGAACCACTGGTCTACACAGAAGAAAGACCTGTCTAGACTCTGCCCCGGTACGAGTTGTGTCGAGCTATTCATTAGTCTGTTTGATAAGAAAAATATGAAACTGATAAAATGGGTTATTATTCTGTACAACTGCAGCAGTGGAGGACTATTATTCTGTGTGCGCGCCTCTGAGAAATGCAGGAGCATAGGAAGCAAAGTTTCCTTACTTTAGCGAAGGAAAACCAGTCTCCTCTTGGCTTATATTGAAATCCTCCAACATTTTTCTTTACAAATCCTCGTTTTGTGCTTCTAATTTCATGACCGGCATTTTTTGTTTTGTTCTCTCTCCGCGCTCGTCACTAATCACGCACCGCTGACGTACTACATCATCCGCCAGAACGCCTTCCACGTATGACAGAATACTGGAAGAAATAGAAAAGTGTTTATTACGTTTGAAATATGGATATTTATCTTACAAAAATGCATGGATTCGCTACAGGAGGCCTTTATTCACCTCCCGGAGCCATGTGAGGGACGTTTTATTACGGATGCGCGCACATTATTTCACGTCTTCTGAACGGTTGACAACCGAACACCCGCTTACCCCCATTGAAAGGCTTGGAGGGGCCAGGACAATTTTTAATATAACTCTGATTGGATTCGTCTGAAAGAAGAAAGTCACATACACCTAGGATGCTTCGAGGGCGAGTAAAACACAGGCTAATTTTCATTTTTGGGTGAACTAACCCTTTAATAAATAAATAAATTCAGGATTCAATTATTACAAATGAACTATATTTGTTTTTATCAAGTAATTTATTTCTTTATTTTCCTGTTATTACATTTTTTTATTTGGCTACATATTTATTTCTTTATTTTTTATTTCTGCAGGTTTGGTCCTCCATAAAAGGTGGCAATTATCACCTACGCAGCTGAATCAAAACAAAGCTCTATTAAAAAATAAAAATAAAAAAAATAAAAAAAGGCTGAACTCAATGTCCTAAGGCTCCGCTATAAATAAATGCCTGAATAATAGAAGTGATTGCCATGAAATTAAGTTTAGAAAAGCATGAAAGAGCACTGTTTTTCACAGTGTCTGAAGAAAACGCGAGTTGTTCTTGCCTAAAACAACTGTTGTGGACAGCTATGAGGCTGTTATGTTTTCATTAGGGTGTTCTGGGTTTCTTGGTGGCCCAGGTGTAAGAGTACACCCTCATTCTGGTCCCTAGCTATAGCTTTGGTTTCCCTCAAACGGAAGTGTTTGGTTTTAAATTTAAGAATTTTTTCCAGTTTTGTTCTAAACTTTAATTCTTTAAGGCAGAATGATTTGTCCAATGGTGTTCCTGTATACCTAGCTGAATGTTTCAAGTAATTTTGAGGAACTTGATTAAGCTGGTTTAGGTGTTTAAGAACTGTTGCTGAACTCAACAGGACATTGGCCATCCAGGAGCAGGACTAGGCACTCTTGAAGTATAAGCAAAGTGGTGCCTGCCTTAAAGGATTTCAAACTGGATTCGCTACAGGAGGCCTTTATTCACCTCCCGGAGCCATGTGAGGGACGTTTTATTACGGATGCGCGCACATTATTTCACGTCTTCTGAACGGTTGACAACCGAACACCCGCTTACCCCCATTGAAAGGCTTGGAGGGGCCAGGACAATTTTTAATATAACTCTGATTGGATTCGTCTGAAAGAAGAAAGTCACATACACCTAGGATGCTTCGAGGGCGAGTAAAACACAGGCTAATTTTCATTTTTGGGTGAACTAACCCTTTAATAAATAAATAAATTCAGGATTCAATTATTACAAATGAACTATATTTGTTTTTATCAAGTAATTTATTTCTTTATTTTCCTGTTATTACATTTTTTTATTTGGCTACATATTTATTTCTTTATTTTTTATTTCTGCAGGTTTGGTCCTCCATAAAAGGTGGCAATTATCACCTACGCAGCTGAATCAAAACAAAGCTCTATTAAAAAATAAAAATAAAAAAAATAAAAAAAGGCTGAACTCAATGTCCTAAGGCTCCGCTATAAATAAATGCCTGAATAATAGAAGTGATTGCCATGAAATTAAGTTTAGAAAAGCATGAAAGAGCACTGTTTTTCACAGTGTCTGAAGAAAACGCGAGTTGTTCTTGCCTAAAACAACTGTTGTGGACAGCTATGAGGCTGTTATGTTTTCATTAGGGTGTTCTGGGTTTCTTGGTGGCCCAGGTGTAAGAGTACACCCTCATTCTGGTCCCTAGCTATAGCTTTGGTTTCCCTCAAACGGAAGTGTTTGGTTTTAAATTTAAGAATTTTTTCCAGTTTTGTTCTAAACTTTAATTCTTTAAGGCAGAATGATTTGTCCAATGGTGTTCCTGTATACCTAGCTGAATGTTTCAAGTAATTTTGAGGAACTTGATTAAGCTGGTTTAGGTGTTTAAGAACTGTTGCTGAACTCAACAGGACATTGGCCATCCAGGAGCAGGACTAGGCACTCTTGAAGTATAAGCAAAGTGGTGCCTGCCTTAAAGGATTTCAAACTCAGCTCCTGGAGGGTCACTGTCCCACAGAGTTTAGCTCGAACACATCTGCCTGAAAGTTTCTCGCACTCCTAAAGACCTTGATTAGCTGGATCAGATGTGTTTAATTAGGGTTAGAGCTAAATTCTGCAGGACAGTGGCCCTCCAGGAGCTGAGTTTAACAGCCCAGCTTTAAACCATAACAAATGTGTCTCACCTATAAACAGCAATAGCAAAACTCAGACTCTTTGCTTCCTGGGACAACACAGTTCAGGACTCACCCCCTGCGTCCTGATTTGGCTCCAGATCCTCCCCTTCTCTCGCTCTTGCCTGCAGGGTACCCTCGACCCATTTTAGGCCCGCTATTTCCTCGGCGGTTCTGTCGATCCACAGGCCGCTGGCTAGAGAAGCTCCTCTTAGCTACCGAGGTTATCTCCCGTTTAGAGATTGCCACACTTTCTGTGGGTGATTTGCTCTGTCCTCCAGAGATCTGTGTGGGCATAGAGGAGGAAGTAGTAGTGGTGTAAGTCACAGCTGCTTCAAGTTGCTTCTTGTCCTCTCGCTCTCTTCTTTCGTTGAAGTCGCTACTCTCAGAGGCCGTCTCCCACTCCTCATTGGCCTGGTCAGAAGAGTTCTGATTGGACAAGTCAGGTGATTTGCTGCCAGCAGCAACTACAGTGGTGGCTCCCATTTCAGGAACAACTGTCTCTGTGACAGGAAGCTCAGGGGGAGTTACATCAGGAGTGAGAGAAGGTCCTGTACTGGTATCAGCCACTCCCTCAAGCAAAGTGACCAGCGTTCCTGGAGCTTTGGACCGCGTTGGTGAGACCGATGTAGGTACTGGCACACCAGGAATAGCTTCCACAGCAAACACTGCTGCCTCACGTTCTTTAAGCCTCCGAAATCGTGGGGGCTTGTCCTGTCTGGGAGGACGGGCTGCCCTTGGTCTCCGGGGCCTCTCTCGTATGTTTTGTCCTCCCTCTCCGATCTTCTTGTTGTCATATTTGATGTGCCGTCTTTCAGAGGGGGTGCCATCAGTGCGCGAGGTCTCTGCTTCCTCTGGCCAAAAGGTCTCCATGGGCTTTGAGGGCCACTGTGAGGCCTCTTTTACAGGGGCCCGACGGAAAGGAGCAGATCTGTGGCCACCTCGTTCCCTGCTACCACCTCGCCTGCTGTGAAATCCTCCCTTGCCTCGGCGTGTGGCCTCACCCTTTAACAGAAAACCCGGTTTGGGTCGTCCATCCTCATCTCGAGACCCAGGTTTTTCAGAAAGATTTCCGGCTGCAAATCCAGAAGTAGATTTAGAGGAGCGAGATTCCGGCAGCTCGCGACAAAGAGGTCTGCTCGGTTTGGAGCTGGGCTCACGATCTGATGCTCCAGTGTCACTGGCAGATTCTCTGCCTTCACTTTCAGAGTCTGTGTCCGAGCCTCGTCTGCGTCTGCGCTTAGGCAAGACTTCAAAATCTGAACTCTCGCTACGGGTTTCACTCTCTTCTCTGCAGCGGAAACTAGCTGACCCTGTGGCATTTAATGGCAAGTCCAAGCGTGACCGTGGCTCTCTGTATGGGTAGTCCCCTCGACTTCGACCACGGCTACCTCTGCCCCTCCCACCATAGCTGCCTCTGTAACTTCGGCCACGGGAATAGTACTCTCCCCGACCACGGCCTTTAAAATCAGAAGGCCAGTCCTTCTCTCTTTCCACATCTCTTTCCCTCTCTCGGTCTCTTTCTCGGTCTCGCTCCCTCTCGTCTCTGCGGTAAGCTCTGGGAGGGAGGTTGGACTCTTTGCGAGATGGTAGTTTGGGTTCAGGACGTTTGCCATTAGACGGAGGCTTGTCTGGTTTATCCTCAGTAAGACATGCAGCTGTAGGACATGCAGTTGTCTGCAGATCTCTGGACTTTGTTCCACCAGTTGCTACTCCCACTTCAGGTTCTACCACAATTTTCTTACCATCACCAGAGGGCTTCGGTCCATCAGACGCTGCTACAGCAGCTGAAGTAACACCTTTGGGAGCAGCACCCTCTTTTTTGGATCGCTCCCATCGTTCGTGTTTCTCTTCTTTCTCTCTTCTCTGTTCCCTCTCTTCCTTCATGTCTCTCAACACAGGTTTCTTAATAGGTCCAGATCTCCTCACTGGCCGCTCCCCTCCAGGACCCTCTCTCCTTCCAGATCCGGATCCACGGGAACCCCAGCGCATCTCTGACTTCTGCTTGCTGGGTGCAGGTAAAGTAAGCTTGTCAGTTTTGTGCATACCATCATTAGCCACAGGAGGAGTGGAACGGCTGTTGATCACAGACCCTTGTCCAAAAGGCTCCTTTCTGGACTTGCCCTCTAGTCTTTCCACAGTATCAGGGAAGTCCAGGGTTTTCTGTGCTATGGTAAGTCCTTCAAATCTGGGCTCTTCCAGTTTCAGAGAGTGACTGGAGCCTTGAGAGATACTCAGTTTCAATACAGCCTGTCCAATGGCTTCAACCTCATCTGCACCAGAGAGGTTAGCCTCCTCAGGTTCAAAAGAAGGGATGACTGGTGCTCGGTCAGTCTGTAGGAGACATGGAACCTCTTCCGAGACATGACTAAAAGAAGACAAGTTTTCAGATGAATCCCTGAAGAAGTCGCTCTTGCTCCGGGGCTCAAGTGGGCTATGGTCCCGAGGGTAGACACCTGATAGACCTCTATCCAGCTCCAGACCAGCATCCAATCTATTTTAAGAGGAAAAGGGGAAAAAAGGTCTTAATACTTGATCAATAACAGGGTATCTACAGATATGAACAAGTTAAGTTTAGGACTTTAAGACCTTTTTAATACCACTTTATTTGAAATTTAAGACCAAACCTGTAATGGAAATACACATTATATTACATATGTATACGTAACATTTAACGCGTTTAATGTAAAAAGAAAAAATATCATCGCTGTTATTGCCATTTATTATTACAATATACAGTGACTAGGGTTGGGTATCGTTTTTTTTTTCTTTTTTCTCGATACCGGTGCCTAAACCGATACTTATAAAAAATTCCAAACCTGTATGAGGTTTGTGTGAATTTAACACTGTTTGGATACAATATATATATATATATTTTATCATCTTCTTTTGTGTTTACAGAAGAAAGAAACTCATACAGGTTTGGAACAAGTGGAGGGTGCGTAAAATGACAGAATTTTCATTCTGGAAGTGAATTTATGCTTTAACTACTTGTTTGTTGAACAAAAATCCATGTAACATCTGCAATCATGAAAATATTCAGCAAAATAGCTCCCTTGTCATGGTATGTTACTTACCTACAAGTTATAAAAAATAAAAAAAACTAAACATTTTTTATTTTTACCTCAGTATGTTTGTTCTTCGAGTTTCATGTGTGCCATTACGCTAATTTGTTTCTCACAGAGACAGGCAGCACGAGCCAAATTCTCAAGCCATTTTTTCAGTAAACTTGCACTAGGGATGTAACGATTACCGGTTTGATGATAAATCATGATAAAATTCCCGACGGTTAGTATTACCGTTTCATATTTTAATTATCATTAAAACCATATTAGATTACCACGATTTGAACAACTCACGATAAATAAATACTGTCCAGTATAAAGCACAGTTTTAAGTAACGTTGAGTGAAAACAGGGCGGAAAAGCTGGGAGGTTTTAAAAGAGTGCCAAGGGAATTATACAAATGAAAATATTAAAAAATTCATTAAATGAATGTACCTCTGAAGGTTCTGACGGTCTTCAGAAACGATTCGATGGCATTTTGTTTTCATCTTCGCTCCATGTAATACCTAATAAAGTAGTGTTTTTAAATCGCAGTGCTGCTTTGTCCTCAGAGTTTATGGGAAACAGCTTTTCCATAAGCGCCAACTGCTGTCAGTGAGTGGATTTACAGAGACTTATATTTACATTCAGTCTGTGTGCAGTTTCTGTCTGGCCAAAAACGGACCGAATTTGCATGCCTGCTGTAAATTGACAGGTTGATGAAAAACAAGCTTATGTCGATTCTACACATTTAAACAATTCATATAAGTTATCCAGAATTATTTATGGAGCAGATAAAATACATATAATCATTTATAAATCAATTATTTTGACTTAACTTTTCTTTATTTAAAGGCTGAAATGTGAGGTTTACCTTTTTATGAAACTTTTTTTTGAGCATTATTTGAACATTTACATTAGATATTTTAACATGCTTTTAAACTGTTGTCAGTGAAGTTGTCATTTAAAATCCGAACATCATTGGTAATGTTATTGTTTTAGTGATTATGCAAACAAAGTCATTTTATTTGTTTGATTTTTAAATTTAAAACTTGAGGTGATTTATGTGTTGGTACCTTTTGAACATCTCCAGCACATTTGAACAAAACCGTGATAATACTGATAACTAGGGCTGGGCAAAAAAAAAAAAAAAGGATTTTCCAATTAATCATTTTTTTAAATGACGTCGATTCGATATCGATTCTCAAAAGCCTCGAATCGATCTTTTCCAGCATTCTATTCAGCACACATTTAAAACAAGATCTGATTAACGTGAATCTTATCATTAGTCTTCTCCACTAGATGTCACCCTTATTTACCTTGCGCGATGTTACAACAGAAAGCCTGTCATTCATTCAGCACTTATCATGGCCATACGCATGATTCGCAATGCTCAGGTGAAATGCTATAGTAATACTATAAATCTGCGGAAGCATTTGATATCACGCATAAGGCGCCATGATTTCCGCAATGAATGAATGAATGAAAGGCTGTTGGCGCGGATGACGCTCGCGGTGTTTTCAGCTTCTGCCGTCTCACTATATGATGATATGAACACGAATGTCATCTCCAGCTGCTCTGAGAGT